CGGGGAGCGGGCGTGGACACACCTGAAGGCCGCCGGCTCCCGCAGCCCACGCCAATTAGGAACTCGCTCGCATTATTTTAATTTGTCTCTGGGGCCCTGGAAGGAAAGTCTTGCGATTATTATTATTATTTTCTGGATGGAAACTTGGGCAGCCATTATATAAATTACACATAATTGAATCCATCAGAGACTGTTTCTTTTAAACAATTGTGTTTTCCCCCGATCACAGGGCCGCCTCTCCCTACAATGGGTTTCTGAGCCCCTGATGTCAAAACATCCTGGAGCCCGGCCGGTGTGGCTCAGTGGTTGACCTATGAACCAGGAGGTCACGGTTCAATTCCAGGTCAGGGCTCGATCCCCAGAGCGGGGCCTTCAGGAGGCAGCCAATCAATGATTCTCTCTCATCACTGATGTTTCTCTCTCTCCCTCTCCCTTGGGACCACCCAGGCCACCTCACCTTTGGGGGCCCAGGCCTTGGGAATCGGTCCACTGTGGGGTCCCTCTCTGTACCACCCCCCCTGCACCGTTGGTTTGCTGTGTGACCTGGAGCAAGGTGCCTGACCTCTCTGAGCCTCCTTTTTCTCATCTGCGACAGCCTCTGACTGCAGGGCTGGTGTGAGGGCTGAGGGAGATGATGCCTGGAGAGCCGTCCTGTGGAGGTGCTGCTGGGGGCGCGTGCCCAGTCCTCCGCTGTCGCGGGCGGGTTCGCTGGTGCCGGTTTGTTTTAATTCGCTTTGGGAGCTGAGTGTCGTGAAGGAGGACACCGTGTTACACTCAGTCCTGGGAACCAGAGGCTGGTCCGGCGGCAGAGTGGGGGCAGCGTGGACAGGAGCCTCCACTGTGGCTTCCATGGGCACAGGTGAGGCAGGGCGAGCAGGCGCAGGGCCGGCTGCTTGGATCAGTCCAGCAGGTTCTGGGGCACCTGTGTCCCTCGCTGTTGGGCACCTGGCCCTGGGAGGCGAGGGCAGGGGCCAGAGCCGGAGTGTGGGAGCCCACAGAGGAGGGGGGTGGGCTCTGGGCGGGGGGTGCATCTGAAAGGCGTGCTCCTGGGCAGGTGGTTTTCTGTCTCTGGGACTCGGCCGACCCTGGGAGGTCATTCCTGCAGGTGAGCAGGGCCCCAGAGGTCAGGGCACCAGCCACAGGCAGTAAGAAAGCAGTTAATAGAGGGAACCAAGCAATGCCGCAGCCCCGGGGCACCGAGTCCTGCCCTCCGCCCGCTGGGCCCATTCCACAGTCGCCCCAGAGAGGCGGGGGGGGGGGGGGGGGGGGCTCTAGAGGGTGACTGGTATCCCATGTCGTAGAGGTTTCCTGCAGCCGCTGAACAAAGTACCACAAACCAGGTGACCGGAAACAACAGAATCCGTTGTGTCCGTTTGGGGGCCAGAGTCCGAGATCAGGGTGTCCCGGGGCCAACTCCAGGGGAGCACCTTGCCCACCTGATGGGCTCTGGGGTGGCCGGCCGTCCCGGGCTCTGGCTGTGCACCCGCCTCTCTCCACACACGGCCCCTCCTCTTCTCAGAAGCACCCAGTCCTGGGCCAGGGCCACCCCTAGGACCTCGTCTTGGTTGGTTTCTCCGGTAAAGACCCTCTTTCCAAAGAAGCTCACATTCACAGGACGATGGGGGGACTTCAGCGTCGCTTGGGGAATACAATTCAACCCGTAGGGCAGTGGTTCTCAACCTCGGCTGCACATTAGCATCACCTGGGAATCTTTTTAAAATCCTGGTTCCTGGGCCTCATCCTCCGGAAATTCTGTCTCTTTGTTACTAATGTTGTGGCCCCACCCCATAACAAAGAAACAGAATTTCCGGAGGATGAGGCCCGGAAATCAGGATTTTAAAAA